CTTGGAGACCTAGGAAAACCCCATACAGTCACCTGGGAGCACGTCGCTTTGCTTCTACTTTGTGTAATTATCTCCACGAGATTCCATAGTCTGTGCTATAAAGAAACTTTACATTCTCCTTGTCTGTTGGGGGTGGGAGGGCGTCTTTTAATCAATCACATCATTGTACCGTTGTTATAACTATATACAAGTGGAAGTTAAAAACAACCAAAAAAAAAAAAACCTCAAACAGACAACATAAGGGAATTTATTGTCCCAAGTATCTGAAATATCCAAAGGGCTGATTTCAAGAAAGGCATGAACTAGCAGCTCAGCAATTTCCCCAATCACCTGACTTCTTTCCGTGTTTCTGTTCTGCCTACCTCAGCGTCAGCTTCACAAAGGCTGATTTCTTATGGTCTTTAATTGCTCCAACATTACCAAGGTTTATGCCTCCCTATAGTGACAGCAGGGAAAAACAGAATATATATGCTCCGGCATTTCCATAAAAAAATCCTGAGATACAGTGACTGGAACAGCTAAGGCCACATGCCTACCTTGGATCCAAACACTGAAGCCAGGGACTTGCTTAGATGAGGTCAGAGGTGCCAATTCTGTATCCAGGCTGGAATTAACCTGCCTGGAACCAATCCAAACAGAAATCAAGAGCCACAGAAAGTGAGGAGAGGATTTATGCTCAGAAGGCATAAAGTACACTACAGATGATAGACACGATAAACAAAGAAAATAATTCTCCCCTCCTCTGGCTATTTATATGGTATGAGGCTATACTACAGTTTCAAGAATGTTCAAAGCAGTGTTATTTAAAATAGCAGAAAAATTGGAAGTAACTTTAATATCCAACCGTATGAAGTCAGTTAAATAATACATTTCTTGTTGTTTGTTGCCATAGAGTCAATTCTGCCACTTACAGCGACCCCATGTGTGCAGAGTAGAACTGCTCCACAGGGTTTTCAAGGCTGTGAGCTTTTGGAAGCAGATGGCCAGGCTTGTCTTCTGAGGAGACTCTGGGTGGGTTCAAACCACAGCTTTTCAGCTAGTGGTCGAGCGTTTAACCATCTGCACCACCCAGGACCTCAAATACAGTGCACCTGTATAATAAAATGTCAGTAGCTCTCAAACTTTTAGGACTCAAGGCCTCTTTACACTCGTAAAAGTTATTGAGGACCCGAAAAAGCTTTTGTTTGTATGGGTTTAACATTTATCATTTTAGAAATTAAAACTTAGAAATTTAAAAAATATCGATTAATTTGTTTAAAAATAGCATTAGTAAACCCATTACATGTTAATATATATCTTTTGGGGGAAAAAAAAGTGAGAAGAATTTTTTTTTTCACATTTTTGCAAATCTCATTGTCTGGCTTAACAGAAGCTGCAGGATTCTTAGATATGCTTCTGCATTGAACTTGTTTTGATATACTGTTTTGGCTGAAGTATATATGTCTAGCTTCACATAGACATGCAGTTGGAAAAGAGAATATTTTAATAGCCTTTTCAGATAATTGTGGACATTCTTTTTGTAAACTATACCATAACTGGACAAGGGATAGTTTCTTAAAGATTAGTAACTGTAGATCTGCAACCATATCAATGAATTTTTTTCATACTCTGCTACATTAAAATCCATTGGTCTATCTTGTACTTGGAGTGAATCTTTTACTCATACATAATTTTGTAATATCATGCCTTAGTCATTCAGAAAATATTGGTTAAAATAGTCATTCAGAAAAAATTTCATTGAGATCTTCTAAATGTTGACCCAATTATGGTATAGGTCACGTGCTGCTTAATGTCCACGATACGTTCTGTGAAATAGGACGTTCTGTGATTTGGACGTTGTGCGAATACTATATTATATATACATCACTGCCTCCTAACAACACTGTCACTCTGTCTTTTAAAGCGTTTAGCCCGGCATTGACTTGGTTTCCTTATGGACGAAGGTCCTTTCAGGCATCAGCTTCCAGAATAAGGTTTCGTCCATATTAAAAATTTGCTGGGGCATATAACCGCCCTCTACAAACAGTTTATCTAAGCTTTCAACAAATTCTGCCTTCACATCAGCACTCACAAACCTACCACTCACAGACTTACCACTCACTTTCACATTATGCAGCGAAAAATGTTCTTTGAAGCTCTTGAACCACCCAGAAGTAGCACTAAACTCAGTATTATTAGTCTGGTTCTGCTTTTTCTTTAAGCATCTTGAAAAAGCTTCGTGCCTTACCAGTTATCGACAACGGGCTGAGAGGGATTCGTTTTTGTGTTTGGTCCTCCATCCACATCATTAGTAGTTTCTCTATATCTGACATAGGTCCCTCTTGCATTTTCATTACCTTGTAGCTTTCAGTGGAGCCAATCCTTTAACAGCTTGGAGAATTTCTTGTTTTTGAGAATCGTCATGATTGTGGAGCGCAACACGCCTAAATTTTGAGCGATAGCATTCACTGATTTTCCACCTTCCTGTTGTTTTATAACCTTTTGTTTCACTTCTAAATCGATATTTCTCCTTTGAGAAAATGCGCCATACATGAGATTGGGTGCTGCTGCCCATAAGTTGAAGCATACGCTGTTATATGGTAAACTTTTTATTTGTAAGTAAGGAAAGCTCACGTTAAAATAAGGATAGAAAATACAGTACATACATACGCCAGTAACACAGGCGTTTATTATGACTATCAAGACATACGTATTATAGGTTATATATGTACTGTACCATCACACGCCCAGCAGCGCAACCTCTCTGTATACAACAGACGTGAGACACGTATTGCATACGGGAAGCTGTTGCATTTGCTACATCCCGTTACATCTGCCATGTCGTGTTCTCAGATCGGGATTTCGGAACTTTATTATAACCTCATGAGACCACGGACGTATATGCAGTCAAACGGTGCCCAAACAGATGTTACGTGACACATGACTGTGATATGAAAATCACATAGATGAAAATCACATATATGAAAATCACAGATGAAAATCACATACATGAAAATCACATAGATGAAAATCACATAGATGAAAATCACAT